CTAAGCAATCCATGAATATGTTCATTGATGTTCACTGCGTTTGAGAAACACATGGTTGGTTTACCTTGATGAAATCACCAATTTTCTATCTATAGGCTTATTCTTGGTCGGACCCGAAGTTTGATGGGTTATCGCTTGGTCGGATCCGAAGTTTCATGGGTTACCCAGTGGATCCAAACACTTCCTGAGAAGGTACTTTGCCCTGAAGACATATCACAACTTTGCCCTGAAGACATATCACAAATACTTCCGAGAAGCTACGTAGATCCATAGGGAGTTCTAGAAATTCGCTACATACCCTTTGGCTTTTTACAGATCGTATTTATTGGTGATCGTATTTACTGGTTTGAAACCCGCTTGCCTTTAGCTTATTCCATTTTGTTACCAGTCTGGCGGTTGCACATCTCAGTGTATCCCCATGGAATCTGCCTTACGTATGGTTTGCTTGGTTGCCCCAGTTGGTTTTTGACCTATTTATCCCAATTGCCCCAGCTAAAGCCGGATTTTGCTTTGGCTAAATCAATTGTACAAATCCCCAACAATCATATGGTTCGTTTCGTCCCATTCGATCCCTATAAAGCGGATGATTTTATAATGACGCTGTTTAGTTCGGTGAAATTAATTGAATTAAAGTAGATTAAATCTATGCTGCTGGTTACTTCTTCCGCTGCAATCGTTATCCCCCCATTCCATCCTCAGTTGCTTTGTTGTGGCCTTTTTTACCATTGTAATTACAGCATGTAGTTAAATCCAGAAATTGATGCTACAATCGGTTTTGGGACAACCCTGACTCATGTTTTGTGGTTATATCCCCACTAAATCTCCCTCATGGTTGGTTAGTTTTTATAGCCCCATTATTGTTAGTTATAATTTGATGTCCTAGTAGATTAACTTTATCCAGTGATATATGTGTTTATGTTTCTCAAATTACTTAAATTGAACTGGTGCGTTGCTTGAATTATTTTTGGTGGATATATGCCAATGACACCTCCATTCGATCACCATCATCGTAGTTGGTTTTGTAGCCCAGTTGCGGTTTTAATTCCCAAATCTATGTTAGTTAAATTTCTTGAATACCTGTCTATCGTATTGTTGGTTTTGCCCCATTGTATTGTGTATCCCTGTAAAATGGAGACCAATCCCCCTTGAAGCATGCCGGTCACAACCCAGTGTGTCCTCACGATAGTGTCATTTTTGGTGCAGTTCGTTAATTCCCAAGTTTTGCTGGGTAAGCTTGTTACCCAGATGCTCCATGTATGGCGTATGGTGTATTTATCTGCATTTGGGTGAATTTGTTGGGGTAAATGTTGATGAACCAGCACCATGGAGCATATGGGTTTTAGACATAGTGTCATTAAATCATATCAAATCTCACTTTTATGTTTATGGTAAGTTTTACTGGCTCACATGTTTACAGTGTCATTTTGGTTGTTAAATGATCACATCTTCTTGTTCAACCCAGCCTTGAAAAGCAACCGTTGCCCGGATCATGCCGGGTCCGCAGGTCGAGGCGCGAGACTATGGCGTGGCCAGATATGGCATGGAGGCGCAAATGCCAGAGGTTTTGGCACATCATATTTCTCATCAAGGTTGGATGTTGAGGATGTTTGTGACCATGATGATGATGATTTTGTTGCATGTCCATTTTGATGATGCCGGCGATGTTGATAATGCTGCTGCTGCTGATGATGATGGTGATCATCATCATGATCATAGTGATGATGATCTGTATGTGTTTGTGATGTTGAGGAAGATGTCGATGATGATGGTGATGTTGATGATGATGATGATGATGATGACGATATTGATGACGATATTGATGGTGATGGTGGTGATGATGATGAATTTGATGTTTATACATGTATATACGTTGATATTGCTTTGATGATGGTGATGATGACGATGATGACGTGGATGATGTTCATGATGTTGATGTGCATGCTGATGTGGTCGATGATGTTGTTGGTGATGATGATGATGGTGATGATGATGATGATGAGTTGATTTCGATGGTGATGATGGTGATGGTGATGGCTTTGAATTTGATGCTGGTGAAGATTAACTGTATGATGATGCTACTGATGATGATGATGATATTGGTGATGATGATGTTGGTGTTGGTGATGATGGTGATGATGATGTTTTTGGTGGTATTTGTTTGATGATGATAATGATGTTGATGCTGGTGATGTTGATGATGTTGATTGTGTAGGGGATGTTGATGATGTTGATGGTGTTGATGGTGTTGATGATGTTGATGATTTTGATGGTGTTTGTGATGTTGCTGATATTGATGGCGTTGATCATGCTGATGATATTGGTGATTTTGATGATGTTGGCTAGCGGGAAGAATGTTTTGTTTTGATTGCCTTAAAACACGACCATCTCATTAATCAAAATACTTTGAAAATGGGAGTTTAGCAACCTCAAAAAAATGTTTCAACGGGAAAATTGATGACAAATTGGTAAACTAAACCGTATGTATAATCTTGGTGTCCCCCATGTTAAGTCAAACCCATGTTCCCCATTAATCTGGGCAACCTGCGACTGTGTTTACTTTTGCATGGGTTGTCGTCGTCACGTGTCTCAAAGAAACACATTTTTCCCACGCATTTGGCCCCGATAACAAGTGGACTCTGTTCCCAATAGTCTCTTGCAAAGGAAACAATAATAGCTGCAACCCTTGAGCATCGGAGGGTACATGTTTGCATGTCCGTTCATCCTACATAAATAGTATGTAGGTGGTATGCAGTCTGTAAGCTGGATTTGTGAAACGCACTGTATGTAGTTCCCCACCTGCCAGGTGAGGGTTGTTAGATTTTATGTCAGTTGCCTCCTCCTGCCTCGTCCTCCTCCTCCTCCTCCTCTCCTCCTCGTCCTCCTCGTCCTCCTTGTCATCCTTGTCGTCCTTGTCGTCCTCGTCGTCCTCGTCGTCCTCGTCGTCCTCGTCGTCCTTGCTCAACTGCGACCCGCGATCCACAGTGTTCTCTGCCGGACCTCAACCACGACCACCCACGCCCAGTGTTCCCTGCCGGACCTCAACCACGACCATCCTCGCCCAGTGTGTCCCTGCCGGACCTCAACCCGACCATCAGTGTTCCCTGCCGGACCTCAACCACGACCATCCACGCCCAGTGTTCCCTGCCGGACCTCAACCGCGAGTATCCACGCCAAGTGTTCCCTGCCGGACCTCATGTAGGAAGATAAGTGTCAGATAGAGTGCCAGAAGATTTGCCAGGTAGAATGCCAGAAAATATGCCAGAAGATATGCCAGATAGATATGCCAGAAGATATTCCAGAAGATATGCCAGATAGAATGCCAGATAGAATGCCAGATAGAATGCCAGAAGATATGCCAGAATATATGCCAGAAGATATGCCAGAAGATATGCCAGATAGAATGCCAGAAGATATGCCAGATAGAATGCCAAATAGAATGTCAGAAGATATGTCAGATAGAATGCCAGAAGATGTGCCAGTAAGAACATGTATAAATGTCATGGTGGGGATCACACGAAGTAAAGTATTTTTTTTTGTTATGGCTTTGTACATGAAAGCAACATGTAGAGTTACCAAATTTTCTACCAGGTTTCCTTTGGTAATCAGACCTGGTTTGCTGGAAAAATATGTTTATAGATGATTTTCCCAGCTGTAAACCTCCATGGCTAGTTCGGGGATTTCCCAGCCAGCCACGTTTTGATGACACCGCAATGAATTTTCATGAATTATCCTGACTATTATCCAATGTTGTATCATCCTAGTTCAATGATATGCAAATTAAGAGTCCATTAATCGAAGGAAGTTTAGAAGTCAAACTTCCGACAATATGGACAGCTTAAAAGCAGAGATGGGAAGAGTCAGAGAAGAGAAGAGAAGAGAAGAAGAAAGAAGATCAAAAAAGAGAAAGTCTCAGAAGAAAGAAAAGGTAGGAAAGTCGCGAAACACTGTGTTTTTTTCCAATGATTTGTGGCTCCAGAGGGTCGAAAAGTAGGCTTGCCAAAGCGGCGGGTGCGAAGCCAGCTGTCCAGATGAGAGATGAAAAATCGCACACCGTTGTGATTTGAAGCACATTTCTAAGTCAAAATGTACAAAACACATCAGCCTCGGAGCACTTTTGGAAGTTGAGATGTTCAAAAAGTGTACACTGTTGTGGCGTGAAGCACATTTCGAAGTCAAAATGTGCAAGATACAAAACACACCACATGCTCGCACCACTTTTGGACGTTGAAGCGTCGTTTTGCGTGGTAGGCGCAAGGGATTGTGCACCTTGTCAAAAGTGAGCAAAATGTGAAGGTTTGTAGCTTGTCCAAAAACGATGGCACGCATGGGACATGTGAAGAGGATCTGCAAAGATGCATTTTCCGTGGCATGCGCAATACAAGAGACATGTTCATCAGAGCTGTTAGGAGGTCCAGGGCGCTGATTTCCTGAGAGGGGTTGCATTTTGGAGCATCAGATCTTCAGGTTTGCTGAGATGATTTTGCGTGACAGGTGCAGCACTTTGTATGACCTGGCATCACTTTTTCGTGGCAGGCGCAGTACTTTAGACAGGTGGAGTGGAAAAATCGCAAAACGCATTGGTAGGAGGCCGTCAGCTCTGCACTCAACTTTCCATTTTTGAAGGAAGTCTGACAGAATTGTTTCGTTTTTGATGTTGTCAACTTCGAAAATCGAGGAAGTCTCGCAGAATTGTTTCGTTTTTGATGTTGTCAAGTTCAAAAATTGAGGAGGTCTCGCAGACTTGTTTCGTTCTTGACGCTGTTAAGTTCACAAATTAAGGAAGTCTTGCAGAATTGCTGCGTTTTCAAGCTTGCAGGTAGACAGACAGACAGACAGACAGGCAGGCAGGCAGGCAGACAAACAGATAGATAGATAGATAGATAGATGGACGTTTACAACTACAACTACAGCTACCACTACACTACACTACACTACTGCTACAGCTAGAAATGCAAATATACTTACTACGCGGCATTATACTACACGAATTTCACTACACTACACTACACTAATTACATCTAATTACACTACACTACACGAATGACACTAACAACTACAACAAGTACTACTACCACAACTACAATTACAACTACACTACACTACACTAATTACACTGCAGCATGCTACAACTACAAATACAACTACAAGTACAACCACACTACGTTACACAACGCTACGCTACACTGATTACATTGCATTACATTGCGACTACAGTTGCAGCTGCCACTGCAACTACAACTACAACTACCACTACACTACGCTACGCTACGTTACGCTACGCTTCGCTGCACTACACTAAACTACACTGCTACACATACTACACGACACGACACGACACGACACTCCACGACAATACACTACACTACACTAATTACAAGACACTACACTACAATTACAGCTACACTACCTTACACAAGACTACACTACACTATACCACACAACACTACACAACACTACACGACATTATGCTGCGCTACACTACAGTAATTACACCATACCAAGACTACAACTGCCACTGCACTTGCCAATAAATTAATTGCACTACATTACAGCTACAGCTCCAAGGCTCCACTACACTACACTACAACTGCAACCACAGCTACAGCTACAACTGCGACTACAACTGCACTACACCATACTACATCCAGCAATTGTGGTAAGGTGACCACTGCAACCATTGCAGCCATTTCAAAAAACACAACTCCAGACTCCAACCACCTGTCGGTCCATCAGTGGATTCGCTCTGCCATCCGTGATTCACAACAACCAACCTCTCCTATAGGTTTCCTATTTTTGAAACTTCCGCCACCGCCTTGCGCGGTACTACTGGTATCACGTCATGGTTTTGTTGCCATGATCTTCCCATTATATATGCGTTATGATCAGCAGTTACGGTAGAACCTGTTCACTTTTCGCAAGGTTCAAAGACTTTGTTCCGTGCTAGCCGGGAGCTTGGTCTGGTACGATGACTTGGTTCCCAGGGGTGGTTAGTCATCCAGCTGCATTCTTGCAATGTGGGGCACCCAAGATAGCTAAGTTGGGTTATAATTCCAATAACTATGGTTTATGATACATATAGATATAGATATAGATATACACATAATTGATCCGAATTTCCCCATTATTCATTATTACTCAGTAATATTTTCCAATACGCTATTTATGTGTATATATATATACTGGTCTGTATATACATATGTAAATCCAATCTATGTCCCATGATGTGTTCCAAATACTAATATTCATACCGGGTTCGTTATACATTCCCCATCATCATTCCAATTTCCCATGATATTTCCCATCATATGGCTATGGGGCAAAACCCTGGTACCTAACCCCAAATAGTAAAATCATGGGGAAATACCAATAGTTTTTGATGGTTAAAAGTTAAAACTTAAGTCAAACACTTAAAATCCAATTTTTACCATGTCTGAATGTTTGCTATTTATGATATGTCCCATGTTTAGATATCTATCATCCCTAAAGCTAAGTTTTTTTCACCGAAACCGGAGGAGTTGCACCTCAGCGGCCTCGGCGACTTCTCTGGCGCGGCTGTTGCGCAAGGCGAGGGGGCATGGCCGGGGGCGTGGGGATGGAACGGATGGGAAAATGTGGATACATAATGATCGATATGAATATTTTTTGGAAACTAACGGGTTAAACATAATAGATATGGATAAATGAAGAAAAATGGTGCTGCAAAATGTTTCAAAATATGGATCAATATGGGGATGATTGATGTTAAAGGGTTCTTTTTGTTGAAGAACAAATGATGGGTTGAAACCGGTTGAAGTTGGTTGAAGGGATAACATGGGATTTTGTCCAACATCAAGTTGGGTAGAGCTGGCAAATGGTGGGTGGCTGGGTGAATAGTTCAGATCCTTGGAAACACACGTGTTTGCCAGGTTGCGGATGTTGAGGTTAACCGGGACCTTAGGAGTCGCAGGTAATATCCGTGCCATGCATATCGGTTTGTGGTGTTTTTTCTCAGCATGCATGCCCCTTAGGTTTATGTAGAAATCAGCAAACATACACTAAAATTGTCTGCCAATAGTTTGGGACATGATAATTAGAAGTATAATTACATTTTTTAGTAAAACTATATAGCACTTGATATAGTTTTTGTAAATAGTTTTTTGTAACTCTATTGATCTCTATTGGAAGTGGGCCTTCGCGCAACTCCACACTGTTTCACCAGGACCACCTCGAGAGTTCCTAGCTGCTTGGAAAACTGGTGGATGGGTTTGCTGTCAACCCTGGATTTAACCCCAAACGGTTGTTTTTTTGGGGGGCACCATTGAAGTATCATCAGATTCTCAGGGAGTACCCCCTAAGTAACAAACCATTGTTGATGAATCCGGGGTTGACATGATCATTGACCTTGGATGTTTATAGCCTTTTCGGGATGGGTTGGGTTTGCACTTCATTCCACTAAAAATCCAAGCTGTTAGCCAGGGATTACAAATAACGAGTAGATTAAAATGCATTGGGGCCATAATTGTTGGCAACTGTACTGCCGAGCATATTGGAGCCACTTGTAATGCAGGTGGCACTTTTGATTTCACTTGTACTTGTTTGGCAAAGTGAGATTGACAAGTCAAAGTACTAAGTGATTCAGGATGACTTGTAGGGTACAAAAAGAATCGCCCAACAGCCCAACAGCAGTCCGAAGTGCCGGGTTTACTGTTCAGTGCAATACTAGTTCTTTTCGCAAACTACAGAACCAGCAAGTGAGACCTTTGCTTGAGACTATTTGGACACCACTTTAGGTGGTTAGATTCCCATGATTTTGAGGAATTTGCCCAGGGAGTTTAGACCCTGCCTTTGTCACTCAGGTAGGTGGTTCCTACTCCATTGCAGATATGGCCGGGCACTGGACTCCTGTCTTTTCTTTTGCTGGCTAAAGACTCTGAACACAAAAACCTTGTACAATGCACAGGGCTATGGCTTACTTGGCGCTGATTTCGGCATGTATAGAATATGTCATACACATATATGTTTTGTGTATGTGTTCATTTATGTTCAGAATGTATATATATATATATACATACATATATATATACATATATATATATATATACATATATATATATATATATATACATATATATATATACATATAGATATATATATATATACATATAGATATATATACATATATTTATATATATATATACATATATATACATACATACACGTATAGTATCCAACATCAATAATATATCAATGTACTATATATATATGCATATCCAATATCAATATAATGTAATATAATATTAATATAGTATCAATATAATATACTTAATTATGTATATATATATATATAGATCAATATATCCCAACTACGGATGCATGTGTACCCACAATCGTTCGTTGTTTCCCCAATATGAGTCATCCACCATGTCGCTTGTTATCTGCAGTCATCCAGGCTTGCTTTCCCTGGGTCTACATGCTGTATGGTCAGCAAGCCCAACGGCGGAGCCGGTGGGTCGAATCTCATTAGTAGTTTGGCAACCATCATATATATATATATATATGTATATATATATATATGTGTGTGTGGAAGTTCCATGTACAAAGAACCAGAATTGACTCATGTTTTATGAACAAATTTTGGATTTGAGTTGAAACAATTATGAAACGTTGTCGAAAGACATATGCTTTCAGCCCGCACGCATGTGAGTTGTTTGAACGAACATGGATGCAAATCAGGGTTGACCTTTGACATGAGAAATGAGGAATGAGCGAACAGCATACCCCAGGGGGTTCAAAGACTTTGGCCAAGTCAATGGCTGGAAAACAGGGACAGCATTGATCAGTCACAAGTTTAACGAGTGATGGATGTTCATTCCAGCACATGTCACATATTGTCAAAAAGTGTGGGAGACCTTTGTGATAGTTTCTGTTTTAATCGGCCCGTTTGTTTGCAATGGATGGGGATACATTGACCTACCCAGCTATCAGATTATCCAATTTATCATAGAAATGTGTTATTATTCTACCTTCTGATAATTCAGCATAACCATGGAAATTACACATTTGTTGAAAATAACACATTAACACTTTCCTTGATTCTGTTAGATTACTGTACCGGGTGATATTATCTATTGGATCATCATGGATATCCTTTGGCAGATACTCAAAACATATTATGTATATATATATATACATATATACATATATATATATTATGGATAATCTGTAAAATCATTTTGGATTTTATTGCAATACATAATGTAATTTTTATATATATACGAAATATTATCTATTGGGCATCCAAAACATTCCATGAGTCCATATTGTGGGTTTACCACTCCGAAGGCAAGGGCTATAATCGACCAGGGCAACCTGATGCGAAGGCACGCAAGGCCATTCGGATTTGAATATTGAACGTGGATATTTTTAACCATCAAGAACGGTTATGAGTCAAAACCCTGGCACCCTAGGTACCCTAAAATAGTTGGTGAATGGATGGTTATTCCCCCACATATGGCAATAATTAATAAGTTTTGACCCATCCCCAAGTAGTGAAACATGGTGATTTCACGTGATTTCACCATCAAACAATAGCATTTAACCACTGAATATCATGGTTGACTGGACATACGTCATGAGATTTCATGGGATATATGTGATATTTCGGTGTGTCTAAACAAACGGCCGTCTTATTGGGCAAATGAAGGTGTATAAACATTCGACTTTCAGGATATCTACAACATTTTCAGACAAACCGCTATGATGGGCATACTGCAGTTGCACCGAAAATGGGATGTAAATTAGTATTAATTAGTATAATATAATTACACAAGATGGGAAATTCAGAGCAAGTTGACCATGGGTTAAACCTTTAGACCCAGGAAAACCTAGGAAAACCTAGCACTTGTCCCATGCGGGGTTGTTTGAAAATGACGGATGCCTTCAAATGATCCTTATTTGTTTGATAAAAAATCAAATTTGATGCTGCCCTATTTTCAAACAAACCAATGTACTGATGGAAACGTAGCAGCTTGACGTAGCAAACCGTACTCACAGATGCAACCAAACATATTTGGAGCAAAGAATGATCTATCCAGGAAGAACTGTTGATCAGCCAGATACAGTGCGTACCCTAAAGGGTGGTAATTGTAATGAACCAACCTAGGATGTTTCCAAAGAATGGGATGTAATGATGTCATCAGCGAAAGTGGGTACTGTATTCAAAGGGAAGATGCAGCCACAAATTGCAGGACTAGAGACCAGAGATTTTGGTAGACTGAACTTGAAAGGAAAGGATTTTCACCACGCATAGAAGAAAGCACGTCACACCTGGTATGTGTTTCAATGTGTTTCACAAAAGTGAGCTAGGCTATGCCATTTGATTGACAAAAATTGGATATCCATCAAAATTCACACTTGCCAGAAGGACGCCGGTGTTGCTTACGACGTGATTGTTACCCTTTGGATCCCTTTGGTATGTCAATTCATTTCACAGGGCGATGAACATCTCCCCATGTACAGATGACTTTCATAGACATTCCTACATGTTCCTACTATATAATCAATCAATATAAAGCTACTAGACATCTTATGATTGTTGACTTTCATTCATGTTCAACAGAAAGAAAAACAGCCATGAGTCGTGAAGTGGCGCATGGCATCCATCCATGGCACGGCATCCTGTGGCCATGACTTTCTGGGCCTCCAAAGATATCCACAGCTGAAAGCCTGGGTGGTCGGGACGCCCCTGGCTGGGACAAATCATGGGAACATCATATGGAGAATTGGCACAGAAATCCACTATTTTCAGCGGGTTTTTAAAGGTTGACCTTCCATTGTTGTTTTGTTTCCATTGATTTGGTGTCTATTTCCTTTTAACTTCATGATTGGCGGCACGTGCCAACATTTCCACGATTTTTGTTTGTTGAATGTTGTTGAAGTAGATTACCCATTTGACTGCAACCATGAGTTGCCACACATAATGACAACAATAAGTGATAGCACGTGCATGAAATCCTTTATATAACTATAGTCTTGCATATTATGATATTAACAATATCAACATTCATACGTTTTATCATATAATAACATAAATAACCATATAAGCATATAACATCATAAAACATATAAAAAGACCATAATGATATTGTTATATGTTTATATTGTTAACCTCAACATAACCATATAAATAATACTATATATATACGATATATCCTTTATTCTCAGACTCAGGACCGCATCGCAGCACGTCCAGCTGTGCAGCGCGGCATCCGCGTTTGTGCCGGAAACGCCCAACGGGTAGGGCGGCGTGGGGTGCAGCTCTTGGTGTACTACCCTTTAAAACAAAGACACCATATCGAATCTAAATTTTGCAACTTACTCAAGTTACTTGTTCTTTGATTTTTCCCGAGAGCGTCTGAGCGCAGAGTTCTTCCAATAGTGGGGGTCTGTATCTCATCTTCTCATCTTCACACCTTCTCATCTTCACACCTTCTCATCTGCACATCTTCTCATCTTCACACCTTCTCACCTTCACATCTTCTCATCTTCACATCTGCTCATCTTCACATCTGCTCATCTTCACATCTGCTCATCTTCTCATCTTCACATCTTCTCATCTTCACATCTGCTCATCTTCACATCTGCTCATCTTCACATCTTCTTATCTTCACATCTTCTCATCTTCACATCTGCTCATCTTCACATCTGCTCATCTTCACATCTTCACATCTTCACATACTCACATCTTCTCTTTCTCTCTCTCGCACTCACATCTTCACATACTCACATCTTCTCTCTCTCTCTCTCTGTCTCTCTCTCTCTCTCTCTCCTCTTTCCTCTCTCCTTTCTCTCTCTCCTTTCTCTCTCCCTTTTCTCTCGCTTTCTTTGTCTTTCTCTCTTTAGGCCGAGGGTGGTGCCGGCGAGGAGTCACGAAACGTCAACGCTTTCGCACGAAATGAGGGTCGATCGTCAAAAACTGAGGAAAAATTGCGATTTTACTTGCCCCGGAGCAACCCTTTCGCACGAAATGAGGGTCGATGCGCAAAAACTGAGGAAAACTTGCGATTTTACTTGCGCCGGAGCAACCCTTTCGCACGAAATGAAGGTCGATGCGCAAAAACTGAGGAAACATTGCGATTTTACTTGTCCTGGGGCAACCCTTTCGCACGAAATGATGGTCGATGCGCAAAAACTGAGGTAAAATTGCGATTTTACTTGTCCTGGGGCAACCCTTTCGCACGAAATGAGGGTCGATGCGCAAAAACTGAGGAAAAATTGCGATTTTACTTGTGCTGGAGCAACCCTTTCGCACGAAATGAAGGTCAATGCGCAAAAACTGAGGTAAAATTGCGATTTTACTTGTGCCGGACTTGTCCTGGAGCAACCCTTTCGCACGAAATGAGGGTCGATGCGCAAAAACTGAGGTAAAATTGCGATTTAACTGGTGTTGGATGTAAAAGGGTGTGAGTGTAAGAGTGTAAGCGCTTGTGTGTAAGAGGGTCTGTGTGTAAATGGGGTCCGTGTGTCGCAGCTTCTGTGTGTCAAAGGGTTTCTGTGTCAAAGTGTCTGTGTGTAAAAGGGCTTGTGTGTAAAAGTTTCTGCCTGTGTGTAAGAGGGTCTGTGTGTAAAAGTGTTCGTGACCGTGTGCAAAAGGGTGTGTCTGTGTGTGTGTAAAAGCTTCTGTGTGTAAAAGTGTTTGAGTGTAAACGGGTTTGTGTGTAAAAGTGTTTCTGTGTAAATGTAAATGGGGTCCGTGGGTCGCAGCTTCTGTGTGGCAAAGGGTTTCTGTGTTAAAGTGTCTGTGTGTAAAAGGGTTTGTGTGTAAAAGTTTCTGTCTGTTTGTAAGAGGGTCTGTGTGTAAAAGTGTTTGTGTGCAAAAGGGTGTGTGTGTGTTTGTTTGTGTGTGTGTGTGTAAAAGTGTCTGAGTGTAAAAGCTTCTGTGTGTAAAAGTGTTTGTGTGTAAACGGGTTTGTGTGTAACAGTGTTTCTGTGTAAAGATGTTTGTAAAAGTGTTTGTGTGTAAAAGTGCATCTGTGTAAAAGGGTTTGTGTGTAAAAGCTTCTGTGTGTAAAAGTGTCTGTGTGTAAAAGGGTTTGTGTGTTAAAGCGTCTCTGTGTAAAATGGTGTGTGTGCAGAAGGGTTTCTGTGTAAAAGGTGTTTCTGTGTGACAGCGGCAATGTGTGTGTAAAAGCGGCCTTGCTTACATGTTTTGTTTTCTTGCCCCGTTGATTGTTTGGCATGTTTGTTTTCCGGTCATCCCTGTCATGTTCAGGCCTTGCTGGCAAGTTTTAAGCAGTCCTGACTTGTTTGCTTGGCATTTTTAGTAGGCATGCTTAATTTTACCCCGAAAGAGATATGAATGGATTAATGACGTTACATTGGGATTCACTGATTTTCGGGTTGTGGAGTTTGTGGGTAACACTTTAGCATCACATTTCTTTGCTGAGGTTGGCGTGAACATTTTTTGTTTGCTACCGGAACTGTCCGAGCAAACATGACTGTAAGCATTTCCAGAGCTTCTTTTGCGCAAGCTATTCACGCAGTGCTGGCTTCTGCTGCATGTTGTCATTAGTGTGTTTTCGTCATTCAATCTTTTGCAGGTAGTTTTTGTGCTGCCTGTCTTCGGAGATTTTGGAGGCCTGCTGCATGTTGTCATCAGTGCGTGGCAGTCATTCGATGTTTTGCAGCTAGTTTTTGGTTGCCTGTCTTCGGAGTGAGATATAGAGCAAGTCTATTCGCATAATATTATGATCTTGGGACTTTCAACTGCAAGCTTGCGTTCCGTTTGTTCGTCAAAGCATGAAGCTGGTCAGCGCAGCTTTTGGTTCGAGATTCGTATCTCGCTTGGCCTTTATAAGTTGTTTCTTTTGGTTCGTTTCAACCGGAAATCTCCGAGAAGCTCCGAGAGTTGCAACAAGGCTTGAAAGAGGGAGTTGATCCCTTCCGGCGCCAGGTGCGCAAACGGGATCGATGCATTCAAGGCTTTAGCTTCCGAGCTTGGGATGTCCGTGGAGGGGATTCGCTGGAAGGAAGAGTTCGCAAGCCGGGTTAATGTGCAAAGATCGAAGTGCAAGAATCTGTTGCACGGTTGCGCTGTGTCGTGCAAAGCGGTGGCACAAAGGTTCTTTGGACGCAGCTCAAGGCGCTGAAGGTTGGAGATATTCGTGCCATTGCGCAAGAGCGTGTCGTCTTATTTATCTTATTATATATATATATATATTATATATATATATGCAAGTCTCTAACAATCAACATGGGTATATATCAACGGGGTATCACCAATCATCCGTTCCGTGGTTTCAAACTTCATTTTCCATCAGGGGTTCAAAGGGGCTTAGCCTACATGACATCGTGTCTTATTTATCTTGAATGGTAAAAACCA